CTCCCCTCCATCTCCTCCTCCTCCATCTCCCTCCTCCTTCTCCTCCTCCTCCTCCTCCATCTCCTCCTCCTCCTCCTCCTCCTCCTCCTCCTCCTCCATCTCCTCTCCTCCTCCTCCTCCTCCTCCTCCATCTCCTCCTCCTCCTCCTCCTCCTCCTCCTCCTCCTCCTCCATCTCCTCCTCCTCCATCCCCTCCTCCTCCTCCTCCTCCTCCTCCTCCTCCTCTCCTCCTCCTCCATCTCCTCCTCCTCCATCTCCTCCTCCTTCCTCTCCTCCTCCTCCTCCATCTCCTCCTCCTCCTCCTCCTCCTCCTCCTCCTCCATCTCCTCCTCCTCCTCCTCCTCCTCCTCCTCCTCCTCCATCCTCCTCCTCCTCCTCCTCCTCCTCCTCCTCCTCCATCTCCTCCTCCTCCTCCCTCCTCCATCTCCTCCTCCTCCATCTCCTCCTCCTCCATCTCCTCCTCCTCCTCCTCCTCCTCCTCCTCCATCTCCTCCTCCTCCTCCTCCTCCTCCATCCTCCTCCTCCTCCTCCTCCCTGCTCCTCCTCCTCCTCCTCCATCTCCTCCTCCTCCTCCTCCCTCCTCCTCCTCCTCCTCCTCCTCCCTCCTCCTCCTCTCCTCCTCCTCCATCTCCTCCCTCCTCCATCTCCTCCTCCTCCTCCTCCTCCTCCATCTCCTCCATCTCCCTCCTCCTCCTCCTCCTCCTCCTCCTCCTCCATCTCCTCCTCCTCCTCCTCCATCTCCTCCATCTCCTCCTCCTCCTCCTCCATCTCCTCCTCCTCCATCTCCTCCTCCTCCTCCTCCATCTCCTCCATCTCCTCCTCCTCCTCCTCCTCCTCCCTCCTCCTCCATCTCCTCCTCCATCTCCTCCTCCTCCATCTCCTCCTCCTCTCCTCCTCCTCCTCCATCTCCTCCTCCTCCTCCTCCTCCTCCATCTCCTCCTCCTCCATCTCCTCCTCCTCCATCTCCTCCTCCATCTCCTCCTCCTCCATCTCCTCCTCCTTCTCCTCCTCCTCCTCCTCCATCTCCTCCTCCTCCTCCTCCTCCTCCTCCTCCTCCTCCATCTCCTCCTCCTCCTCCTCCTCCTCCTCCTCCTCCTCCTCCTCCATCTCCTCCTCCTCCCTCCTCCTCCATCTCCTCCTCCTCCATCTCCTCCTCCTCCATCTCCTCCTCCTCCTCCTCCTCCTCCATGTCCTCCTCCTCCTCCATCTCCCTCCTCCTCCTCCTCCTGCTCCTCCTCCTCCTCTCCATCTCCTCCTCCTCCTCCTCCTCCTCCTCCTTCCTCCTCCTCCTCCATCTCCTCCTCCTCCTTCCTCCTCCAACTCCTCCTCCTCCTCCATCTCCTCCTCCTCCATCTCCTCCATCTCCTCCTCCTCCTCCTCCTCCATCTCCTCCTCCTCCTCTCCTCCTCCATCTCCTCCTCCTCCTCTCCTCCTCCTCCTCCTCCTCCATCTCCTCCTCCTCCTCCTCCTCCTCCTCTCCTCCTCCATCCTCCTCCTCCTCCTCCATCTCCTCCTCCATCTCCTCCTCCTCCTCTCCTCCATCCTCCTCCTCCATCTCCTCCTCCATCCTCCTCCTCCTCCTCCATCTCCTCCTCCTCCATCTCCCTCCTCCTCCTCCATCCTCCTCCTCCATCTCTCCTCCTCCTCCTCCTCCTCCATCTCCTCCTCCTCCTCCATCTCCTCCTCCATCTCCTCCTCCTCCTCTCTCCTCCTCCTCTCCTCCTCCTTCTCCTCCTCCTCTCTCTCCTCCTCCTCCATCTCCTCTCCTCCATCTCTCTCCTCTCTCCTCATCTCCTCATCTCCTCCTTCTCTCCTCCCTTCTCTCCTCCTCCTCCTCCTCCTCCATCCTCTCCTCCTCCTCCATCTCCTCTCCTCCTCCATCTCCTCCTCCATCTCCTCCTCCATCTCCTCCTCCATCTCCTCCATCTCCTCTCCTCTCTCCATCTCCTCCTCCTCCCTCCTCCTCCTCCTCCTCCTCCTCCATCTCCTCCTCCTCCTCCTCCTCCTCCTCCATCTCCTCCTCCATCTCTCCTCCTCCTCCATCTCCTCCTCCTCCATCTCCTCCTCCTCCTCTCCTCCTCCTCCTCCTCCTCCATCTCCTCCTCCTCCTCCTCCTCCATCTCCTCCTCCTCCATCTCCTCCTCCTCTCCTCCTCCTCCTCCTCCTCCTCCTCCATCTCCTCCTCCATCTCCTCCATCTCCTCCTCCTCCTCCATCTCCTCCTCCTCCTCCTCCATCTCCTCCTCCTCCTCCTCCTCCTCCTCCATCTCCTCCTCCTCCTCCTCCATCTCCTCCTCCATCTCCTCCTCCATCTCCTCCTCCATCTCCTCCTCCTCCTCCATCTCCTCCCTCCTCCTCCATCTCCTCCTCCTCCTCCTCCTCCTCCTCCTCTCCTCCTCCATCTCCTCCTCCTCCTCCTCCTCCTCCTCCTCCTCCATCTCCTCCTCCATCTCCTCCTCCTCCTCCATCTCCTCCTCCTCCATCTCCTCCTCCTCCTCCTCCTCCTCCTCCTCCATCTCCTCCTCCTCCTCCTCCTCCATCTCCTCCTCCTCCATCTCCTCCTCCTCCATCTCCCTCCTCCTCCTCCTCCTCCTCCTCCTCCATCTCCTCCTCCTCCATCTCCTCCTCCATCTCCTCCATCTCCTCCTCCTCCTCCATCTCCTCCTCCTCCTCCTCCATCTCCTCCTCCTCCTCCTCCTCCTCCATCTCCTCCTCCTCCTCCTCCATTCTCCTCCTCCTCCATCTCCTCCTCCATCTCCTCCTCCATCTCCTCCTCCATCTCCTCCTCCATCTCCTCCTCCATCTCCTCCTCCTCCTCCATCTCCTCCTCCTCCTCCTCCTCCTCCTCCTCCTCCTCCATCTCCTCCTCCTCCTCCTCCTCCTCCTCCATCTCCTCCTCCACTCTCCTCCTCCTCCTTCTCCATCTCCTCCTCCTCCATCTCCTCCTCCTCCTCCTCCTCCTCCTCCTCCTCCTCCATCTCCTCCTCCTCCTCCTCCTCCATCTCCTCCTCCTCCTCCTCCTCCATCTCCTCCTCCTCCTCCTGAGCCACACTGGTGTCAGCATAGGATACATTGTTGCAACAATGTATCAATTATCCCCGAAACCGGTGTGGCTCAGCGGATAGACCGTCGGCCTGCGGACTGAAGGGTCCCGGGTTCGATTCCCGGTCAAGGGCATGGACCTTGGTTGCAGGCACATCCCCAGTGGGGGGCGTGCAGGAGGCAGCTGGTTGATGTTTCTGACTCTCTCTCCCTCTCCCTTCCTCGCTGTAAGAAATCAATAAAATAGATATATATATTTTTAAAAAGCAACAATAAAAATTAGGTATTTTATTGTATTTAGCTACTTGATGGAAATCTTATCTGAACCATAGTCTAGGGTTGTTGTTTTTTTTTTTAATCCTCTTGTATCTATTTTAGATACAAACAACAAATAATAAATTTTTTATTTAATAAGACAATAAAAAGTCTTGCTTTTTAAATAAATAATAACAATAAAATTATGTTTAATTATAATTTTACTATATTATTTTAAATAAAATGTAAGATAAGTTTAAATTTTATGATTATTAAATAATAAAAAATTTATTTTAATAATTTTAAAATAAAAATTCAAGTTTTCTTATTAAATAATAAAAATTTGTTTTTTTAATTAAATACTTATAAAATTTTAATTTTTACTATTATTAAATAATAAAAAATGATTTTTAATAAAATGTTTAATAAAATTTCAAATTTTATGACTATTCAGTAATAAAAATTTTATTTGAATCATTTTAAAATAAAATTTCAAGTTTTCTTCTTGTTAAATAATAAAAAATTGTTTTTTTAAATAAAATACTTGACAAAATTTTAATGTTTACTATTATTAAATAATAAAAAATTATTTTTAATAAAAATCTTAACAAAATTTTAAATATTATTATGAAGTAATAGAAACAATTTATTTTTAATAAATTTTTAAATAAAATTTTACAATATATTGTTAAATAATAAGTTATTCTTAATAACATTTTAAGTTTTTATTATTATTATGAAATAATAGGAAAAATTACTTTTCATAAATTTTTAAATAAAATTTTACAATGTATTGTTAAATATTACATTATTTTTAATAAGATTTCAAACAAAATTTTAAGTTTTTATTATTATTATGAAACAATAGGAAAAATTATTTTTCATAAAATTTTAAATAAAAATTTAGAATTTATTGTTAAATAATAAATTATTTTTAATAACATTTTAAGTTTTTATTATTATGAAACAATATAAAAAATTATTTTTCATATATTTTTATATAAAATTTTAGAATGTATTGTTCAATAACAAATTATTTTCAATAACATTTTAAACAAAATTTTAAGTTTTTATTATGAAACAATAGAAAAAATTATTTTAAATACATTTTTAAATAAAATTTTACGATATATTGTTAAATAATTATTTTTAATAACATTTTAAGTTTATTATTATGATGAAACAATAGAAAAAATTATTTTTTATAAATTTTTAAATAAAATTTTAGAATGTGTTGTTACATAATAAATTATTCTTAATAAAATTTTAAGTTATTATTAATTATTATTAAACAATACAGAGTCATGCCTATAAGGCTTCTCCGGTGTTGGGGTCCCCCCCCCCAGCTCCCCTCTCCCCTCCCTCCCGCAGGTCACGGGCCCGGGCTCCGGAGGTCACGATGCCGCGGCGCCAGGGCGCCCCCTGGCGGTGGCTGTGGGCGGTGCTGCTCCTGGCCGGGGCGCCGCCCCCGCCGGCCGCGGGGTCCTGCCCGCAGCCCTGCGCCTGCTACGCGCCCGCCGAGGTCCACTGCACCTTCCGCTCGCTGGCGGCCGTGCCCGCCGGCCTCCCCGCCGGCGTGGAGCGCGTCAACCTGGGGTGCGTACCGCCGCCTTCCGCCTGCGCGCCGGCGTCTGTGCGTCTGAGCGTCAGCGTCTGTGCGTGGGCGTCTGTGCGTCAGCGTCTGTGTGTCTGAGCGTGAGCGTATGTGCGTCAGCGTCTGTGCGTCAGCGTCTGTGCGTGGGCGTCTGTGCGTCAGCGTCTGTGCGTGGGCGTCTGTGCGTGGGCGTCTGTGCATCTGTGCGTGGGCGTCTGTGCGTTAGCGTCTGTGCGTCACTGCGTGAGCGTCTGTGCGTGAGCGTCTGTGGGTCTGTTCGTCTGAGCGAGAGCGTCTGTGCGTGAGCGTCTGTGCGTCTGTTCGTCTGAGCGAGAGCGTCTGTGCGTCGCTATCTGTGTGTGTCTGTGCGTGGGCGTCTGTGCGTGGGCCTCTGTGCATCACCGTCTGAGCGTGGGCGTCTGTGCGTCTGTGCGTCAGCGTCTGTGCGTCCGCGTCTGTGCGTGGGCGTCTGTGCGTTCGCGTCTGTGCGTCTGCGTCTGTGCGTCTGCGCATCAGCGTCTGTGCGTGGGCGTCTGTGCGTCAGCGTCTGTGCGTCTGTGCGTCAGCGTCTGTGCGTGGGCGTCTGTGCGTCACTGTGCGTGAGCGTCTGTGCGTCACTGTCTGTGCGTCACCGTCTGTGCGTCAGCGTCTGAGCGTGAGCGTCTGTGTGTCACTGTCTGGGTGTGTCTGTGCATGAGCGTCTGTGCGTCACCGTCTGTGCGTGAGCGTCTGTGCGTCACTGTGTCTTTGCGTGGGCGTCTGTGCGTGAGCGTCTGTGCGTGGGCGTCTGTGCGTCAGTGTCTGTGCGTGAGCGTCTGAGCGTGAAGGTCTGTGCGTGAGCGTCTGTGCGTGGGCATCTGTGTATCACCGTCTGTGCGTCACCGTCTGAGCGTGAGCGTCTGTGCGTGGGCGTCTGTGCGTCAGTGTGCGTGAGCGTCTGTGCGTGGGCGTCTGTGCGTCACTGTGTGTGTCTTTGCGTGAGCTTCTGTGCGTGGGCGTCTATGCGTCTGCGTCTGTGCGTGAACATCTGTGCGTCACCGTCTGTGCGTGAGCGTCTGTACGTGAGCGTCTGTACGTGAGCGTCTGTGTGTGAGCGTCTGTGTGTCACTGTGTGTGTCTGCGTGAGCTTCTGCGCGTGGGCGTCTGTGCGTCAGTGTCTGTGCGTGAGCGTCTGTGCGTCAGCGTCTGTGCGTGAGCGTCTGTGCGTCAGCGTCTGTGCGTGAGCGTCTGTGCGTGGGCATCTGTGTATCACCGTCTGTGCGTCACCGTCTGAGCGTGAGCGTCTGTGCGTGGGCATCTGTGCGTCTGTGCGTGAGCGTCTGAGCGTGAGCGTCTGTGCGTTGGCGTCTGTGCGTGAGCGTCTGTGCGTCACCGTCTGTGTGTGTCTGTGCGTGAGCGTCTGTGCGTCACTGTGTGTGTCTGTGCGTCACTGTGTGTGTCTGTGCGTTAGCGTCTGTGCGTGAGCGTCTGTGCGTCACCGTCTGTGCGTCACCGTCTGTGTGTGTGCGTGAGCGTCTGTGCGTCACTGTGTCTGTGCGTGAGCGTCTGAGCGTGAGCATCTGTGCGTCACTGTGTCTTTGCGTGAGCTTCTGTGCGTGGGCGTCTGTGCGTGGGCGTCTGTGCGTCAGTGTCTGTGCGTGAGCGTCTGAGCGTGAAGGTTTGTGCGTGAGCGTCTGTGCGTGGGAATCTGTGTATCACCGTCTGTGCGTCACCGTCTGAGCGTGAGCGTCTGTGCGTGGGCGTCTGAGCGTCAGCGTCTGTGTGTGTGCCTCTGTGCATCACCGTCTGTGTATCACTGTCTGTGCGTGAGCGTCTATGCGTGAGCGTCTGAGCGTAACTGTGCGTCAGTGTCTGTGCGTCAGCGTCTGTGCGTGTCTGTGCGTAAGCGCTTGTGCATAACGCTCTGAGCGTAAGCATCTGTGCGTGAGCGTCGTCTGTGCGTAACTGCGTAGCCATCTATGCGTAGCCATCTGTGCGAAACTGTGGGTAATTGTGGGTAATTTCCCATGAGCCACTGCGCGCCATTGGCCTTCAGGAGCGCTCTTTCTGGGATTCCGTGCTGCTTCCTTCCGTTTCCTTCCTGGTTCCCTCCATTCCCTCGGCCGGCCTGGCTGGTGCAGAGGACAGAGCCTGCGCTTACAGACCCCCAGGCCCCGGTCAAGGGCTCGGACCCGGGATGGAGAGTCCTCCCCGGCCCCGGGGCCCTGGCTGGGGCGGGTCCCGGAGGCAAGTTGTCCATGTGTTTCTGTCCCATCGATGTTCCTCTCTGTCTCTCTCTCTCTCTCTCTCTCTGGAAAACCAGTGGGAAGATATCCTCCTCCTTCTTCATTTAATTTTATTTTTATTTATTTAGTTCGTTTCATTATCCCTTTATTATTTTTTTAATTTTTCTAAAAATATATTTTATTGATTTTTTTTTTTTTTTTTACAGATATAAACAGAGAGGGATAGAGAGAAATAGATGAGAGAGAAACATCAACCAGCTGCCTCCTGCACGCCCCCCACTGGGGATGTACCCGCCATCAAGGCCCATGCCCTTGACCGGGAATCGAACCCGGGACCCTTCCGTCCACAGGCCGATGCTCTATCCACTGAGCAACACCGATTTCAGCTGGTTTATATATATATATATTTTAACATTTATACATTGAAACATGGAGTGGCCGGATGATAGTGATCTCTGAATGCATAATAAACTGGCCACTCAGTGTATGTGTATATATATTTTTTAAAATATATATATTTTATTGATTTTTTTACAGAGAGGAAGGGAGAGGGATAGAGAGTAAGAAACATCGATGAGAGAGAGTCATCAGTCATCTGCCTCTTGCACGCCCCCCACTGGGGATGTTCCCTCAGCCACGAAGGTCCATGCCCTTGACCGGGAATCGAACCCGGGACCCTTCCATCCGCAGGCCGACGCTCTATCCACCGAAACAAACCAATTAAGGCTATTTATTTAAAAAAAAAAAATTTTTTTTATTGTATTGATTTTTTTTACAGAGAGGAAGGAACAGAGAGATAGAAGCATCCATGATGAGAGAGAAACATCCATCCGCTGCCTCTTGCACGCCCCCCACTGGGGATGTGCCCTCAGCTACCAAGGTCCATGCCCTTGACCGGGAATCGAACCCGGGACCCTTCGGTCCCCAAGCCGACGCTCTATCCACTGAGCCACACCGGTTTCGGCTCCAGGTCTGTCTCTGTTCATCCGTCTACGTGGTTCCATCATTTCCTCTCAATGTCCCATTTCTGCTTCTTGTTTTTTTTTTTGCTTTGGAGGGTTCTCTGCCCGCTGGGCCGGGCACACTGACGTGTGTGTGTGTCTGTGTGTGTCTGTGTGTGTCTGTGTGTCTGTGTGTGTCTCTCCCAGGTTTAACAGCATCCAGGCTCTCTCGGACACCGCTTTCGCCGGGCTGACGAGGCTGGAGCTGCTCATGGTCCATGGCAACAACATTCCCAGCATCCCTGACGGCGCGCTCCAGGACCTGGGCGCCCTGCAGGTAACACCCACGCTCTTATCTCCTTATTTTATTTTTTAAAAATATATTGTATTGATTTTTTTTTTTTTTTTTTTATAGAGAGGGAGAGAGAGGGACAGAGAGTTAGAAACATCGATGAGGGAGAATCACCGATCCGCTGCCTCCTGCACGCCCACCACTGGGGATGTGCCCGCCGCCTAGGTCCATGCCCTTGACCGGGAATCGAACCCGGGACCATTCCGTCCACTGAGCCACACCGGCTTCGGCTCCTTATTTTACTTTATTGTATTTCATCATTTCATTCACTTTATTTCGTTCTATCATGTTACTTTATCTTTTATTTGCTTTGCTTCGCTTTTTATTTTATTATTTACTTATTTATCTGTTATTTTTATTAATTTCATTTAGTTTATTTTCGTTTAACTTTATTAAGTTTGTTTTTATTTTATGTTCGTTCATTTTATTTATTTGTTATTTTATTTCATTTTATTTACTTTGTTTTTATTTTATTTTATTGTTTTTATTATATTTTATTATTTTATTATCTATTTGATTTATTATTTATTTTATTTATTGTTTTAATTTAATTGATTATTTTAGTTTATTTTTTATTTTATGTTATTCATTCATTTTATTTTTTTATTTATTATTTTATTTTATTTCATTTTATTTTATTTACTTTGTTTCATTTTTATTTTATTTTATTGTTTCTATTATATTTTATTTATTACTTTATTTATTTTATTATCTATTTTATTATTTATTTTATTTATTGTTTTAATTTAATTGATTATTTTAATTTACTTTCTTTATTTTTTATTTTGTTATTTATTTTTTCATTAATTTTTTTTACTTTATATATTTTATTGTATTTATTTATTTTTATTATCTTATTTTATTTAACTAGAGGCCTCATGCCAGGTGGGGGTCCCTCAAACCAGCTCTCCGACATCCCCCGAGGGGTCCCAGATTGTGGAACGTCCGCCCCCTGGTGGTCAGTGTGCATCATAGCTACTGATTGGATGGTCGCCCCGGCTTTTTGTGTATACGTGTTTTTATCCATTTTACAAAGAGGAAGGGAAGGAGATAGAGAGTAACATCCACCAGCTGCCTCCTGCACGCCCCCCACTGGGGATGTGCCCACCACCGAGGTTCGTGCCCTTGACCGGAATCGAACCCGGGACCTTTCAGTCTGCAGGCTGATGCTCTATCCACTGAGCCACACCGGTTTTGGCCTGATGTAATTTTTAAAAAAAAAAAAAATATATATATATATAATGATGGAAACCGGGTAGAAGGGAGCTATGGGGGGAAAGGAGGAGAAACAATTGTAATAATTTGAACAAAGATTTATTAAATTAATAAAAGAACATACTGTATATTTTTAATTTATTTCAGAGAGAAAGGGAGAGGGAGGGAGAGAGAGAGAGAGAAAGATCCATGAGGAGAGAGAATCATGGACCGGCTGCCTCCTGCACGCCCCCTCCTGGGCATGTGCCCTTGACGGGGAATCGAACCCGGGACCCTTCAGTCCACAGGCCGACGCTCTATCCACTGAGCCACACCAGCAAAATCTTTCTTTTAAAAAATAAATGTATTATTTTTTTTGCCAAAACCGGTTTGGCTCAGTGGTAGAGCGTCGGTCTGCGAACTGACGGGTCCCGGGTTCGATTTCGGTCAAGGGCATGGACCTTGGTTGCGGGCACATCCCCAGTGGGAGGGTGTGCAAGAGGCAGCTGATTGATGTTTCTCTCTCATCGACGTTTCTAGCTCTCTATCTCTCTCCCTTCCTCTCTGTAAGAAAAATCAATACTATATATTTAAAAATAAATAAATAAATAAATAAATATATTTTTTTGCCGAAACCGGTTTGGCTCAGTGGTAGAGCGTCGGTCTGCGAACTGACGGGTCCTGGGTTCGATTCCGGTCAAGGGCATGTACCTTGGTTGTGGGCACATCCCCGGGGGGGTGGGGGGGAGCTGGGTGTGCAGGAGGCAGCTGATCAATGTTTCTCTCTCATTGACGTTTCTAGCTCTCTATCGCTCTCCCTTCCTCTCTGTAAAAAAATCAATAAAATATATTTTTTTAAAAATAAAAAATGAAAAAATAAATATTTTTATTGATTTCAGATAGATGAGAGAGACAGAGACAGAGAGAGAGAGAGAGAAACGTCCATGAGGAGAGAGAATCATAGACCAGCTGCCTCTTGCACGCCCCTTCCTGAGGATGGACCCTGCAACCCAGGGCCTGTGCCCTTGACCTGGAATCGAACCCTGACCTCCTGCCCTCCCCCTCTCCCCCCTGCCCCCAGGTCCTCAAGTTCAGCTACAACAAGCTTCGTGTGCTGACGGCCCACACCCTGCGCGGCCTGCGGGGCCTCGTGCGGCTGCATCTGGACCACAACGAGCTGGAGTTCCTGCACCCCCACGCCCTCCTGGGCCTGCGCTCCCTCCGGCTGCTGCAGCTCGAGGGCAACCGGCTGGCCCAGCTGCACCCGGCCGCCTTCGCCACGGTCCGCCCCCTGGGCCAGTTCCCGCTGTCCGGCGTCCGGCACCTGTACCTGGCGGACAACCGGCTGAGCCGGCTGCCGGACGGGCTGCTGGGCGCCATGCCGCTGCTGGAGAACGTATTTCTGCAGGGCAACCCCTGGGCCTGCGACTGCGAGATGGGCTGGCTGCCGGGCTGGGCGGCCAGGGCTCCCGGTGAGAGGGGGGAGGGGAGGGGAGGGAGGGAGGGAGGGAGGGACAGACCAGGGGGCTGTCTGTCAGTCGGCCCCGGGGACAAGGCCTGATCTGGGCCAGGAAAGGGGGGTCAGCTTCTCTCACTTTTGTCTCTCTGTCTGTCTTTGTTTCTCTCTGTCTGTCTTTGTTTCTCTCGGTCTGTCTTTGTTTCTGTCTGTCTTTGTTTCTGTCTGTCTGTGTTTGTTTCTGTCTGTCTGTGTTTGTTTCTCTCTGTCTTTGTCTTTGTTTCTCTCTGTTTTTGTTTCTCTCTGTCTGTCTTTGTTTCTCTCTCTGTCTTTGTTTCTCTCTGTCTTTCTTTGTTTCTCTCTGTCTTTGTTTCTCTCTGTCTGTGTTTGTTTCTCTCTGTCTTTGTTTCTGTCTGTCTTTGTTTCTCTCTTTTTGTTTCTCTCTGTCTTTGTTTCTTTCTCTTTGTCTTTGTTTCTTTCTGTCTGTCTTTGTTTCTTTTTCTTTCTCTTTCTTCTTTCTTTGTTTATTTTTTCTTTCCTTTCTCATTCTTTTTCTTCTTTTTTTCTTCTTTCTTTCTTTCTTTCTTTCTTTCTTTCTTTTTTTTCCTTCTCTTCTTTCTCTTTCTTTTCTTTTTTAAAAAAAATATATATATTATTGATATTAGAAAGGAAGGAAGAGGGAGAAATAGCAATGATGAGAGAGAAACATCCATCAGCTGCCTCCTGCATGCCCCCTGGTATCTGGCACTTGTACCTGGCGGACAACCGGCTGAGCCGGCTGCCGGATGGGCTGCTGGGCGCCATGCCGCTGCTGGAGAACGTGTGTCTGCAGGGCAACCCCTGGGCCTGCGACTGCGAGATGGGCTGGCTGCCGGGCTGGGCGGCCAGGGCTCCCGGTGAGAGGGGGGACGGGAGGGGAGGGAGGGAGGGAGGGAGGGCGGACAGACCAGGGGTCTGTCTGTCATTCGGCCCCAGGGACAAGGCCTGATCTGGGCCAGGAAAGGGGGGTCAGCTTCTCTCACTTTTGTCTCTCTGTCTGTCTTTGTTTCTCTTTCTTTGTTTCTCTCTGTCTTTCTATGTTTCTCTCTGTCTTTCTATGTTTCTCTCTGTCTTTCTTTGTTTCTCTTTGTCTGTCTTTGTTTCTCTCTGTCTTTGTTTCTCTCTATCTGTCTTTGTTTCTCTCTTTGTTTCTTTCTGTCTTTGTTTCTCTCTGTCTGTCTTTGTTTCTCTCTGTCTGTCTTTGTTTCTCTCTGTTTGTCTTTGTTTCTCTCTGTCTTTCTTTGTTTCTCTCTGTCTTTCTTTGTTTCTCTCTGCCTTTGTTTCTCTCTGTCTTTGTTTCTCTCTGTTTGTCTTTGTTTCTCTCTGTCTTTGTTTCTGTCTTTCTTTGTTTCTCTGTCTTTGTTTCTCTCTGTCTTTCTTTGTTTCTCTCTGTCTTTGTTTCTCTCTGTCTTTCTTTGTTTCTCTGTCTTTCTTTGTTTCTCTCTGTCTTTCTTTGTTTCTCTCTGTCTGTCTTTGTTTCTCTCTGTCTGTCTTTGTTTCTCTTTCTTTGTTTCTCTCTGTCTTTGTTTCTTTCTGTCTTTGTTTCTTTCTGTGTGTCTTTGTTTCTTTTTCTTTGTCTTTCTTCTTTCTTTGTTTATCTTTTCTTTCCTTTCTCATTCTTTTTCTTCTTTTTTCTTTTCTTTTCTTTTCTTTCTTTCTTTCTTTCTTTCTTTCTTTCTTTCTTTCTTTTTTTTCCTTCTCTTCTTTCTCTTTCTTTTCTTTTTTTAAAAAAATATATATATTATTGATATTAGAAAGGAAGGAAGAGGGAGAAATAGCAATGATGAGAGAGAAACATCCATCAGCTGCCTCCTGCACGCCCCCTGGTATCTGGCACTTGTACCTGGCAGACAACCGGCTGAGCCGGCTGCCGGACGGGCTGCTGGGCGCCATGCTGCTGCTGGAGAACGTGTGTCTGCAGGGCAACCCCTGGGCCTGCGACTGCGAGATGGGCTGGCTGCCGGGCTGGGTGGCCAGGGCTCCCGGTGAGAGGGGGGAGGGGAGGGGAGGGAGGGAGGGAGGGAGGGACCAGGGGGCTGTCTGTCTGTCAGTCGGCCCCGGGGACAAGGCCTGATCTGGGCCAGGAAAGGGGGGGTCAGCTTCTCTCACTTTTTTCTCTCTGTCTTTGTTTCTCTCTGTCTTTCTTTGTTTCTCTCTGTCTTTGTTTCTCTCTGTTTGTCTTTGTTTCTCTCTGTCTTTGTTTCTGTCTGTCTTTGTTTCTCTCTGTCTGTCTTTGTTTCTCTCTGTCTGTCTTTGTTTCTCTCTGTGTCTTTGTTTCTCTCTGTCTTTGTTTCTCTCTGTCTTTGTTTCTCTCTGTCTTTGTTTCTCTATGTCTGTCTTTGTTTCTCTCTGTCTTTGTTTTTCTCTGTCTGTCTTTGTTTCTTTCTCTTTGTCTTTGTTTCTTTCTTTGTTTCTTTTTCTTTCTCTTCTTTCTTTCTTTATTTTTTCTTTCCTTTCTCATTCTTTCTCTTCTTTTTCTTCTTTTTTTTTCTTCTCTCTTTCTTTTTCTTCCTTCCTTCTCTTCTTTCTCTTTCTCTTCTTTAAAAAAAATATATATATATATATATATATATATATATATATATATATATATATATATATATATTAGAGCGGAAGGAAGAGGGAGAAACAGCAATGATGAGAGAGAAACATCCATCAGCTGCTTCCTGTACACCCCCTACTGGGATGGAGCCCGCAACCCGGGCCTGTGCCCTTGACTGGGAATTAAATCCGGGACCCTTCAATCTGGAGGCCAATGCTCTATCCACTGAGCCACACCAGCCTGGGCTTTCTCTTTTCCTTCTCCCTTTCTTTCTTTCTTTCTTTCTTTCTTTCTTTCTTTCTTTCTTTCTTTCTTTCTCTTCCTTTTTTCTTTCTTTTAATATATATATATTTTCATTGATCTCAGAAAGGGAAGGAGAGAGACGGAAACATCCATGATGAGCGAGAACCACGGATAAGCTGCCTCCTGCACGCCCCCTCCTGGGGACAGAGCCCACAACCCGGGCCTGTGCCCTTGACCGGGAATCGAACCCTGACCTCCTGGTTAACTAGGTTGATGCTCAACCACTGAGCCACACCAGCCAGGGCTTCCTCCTTTCCTCCCCACCTCTCTCTCTCTCTCTCTCTCTCTCCCCTCACTCACACCACATCTCCCTTCTTCCCCCCCCCCCCCCCCCCGCATCCCCCAGGCATCCTCAAGTGCAAGAAGGACAAGGCCTTCGAGGGCGGCCAGCTCTGCGCGGCCTGCGCCAGCCCCCGCGTTCTCCTCGGTCGCGAGCTCCACTCCCTCCGGGACATCCGGTGCGCCCGGCCCTCCATCGAGTCCCCGCTGAGACCCAACGCGACCGGCAGTGGCAGCAGCAACAGCGTCTTCGACGAGGAAGAGGAAGAAGGAGACGAAGACGCAGACGCCGACAGCCCCCTCTCCGTGGCCGCCCTCCCGTCCCCGCCCTGGACGGTCGCCTTGAACATGACGGACGAGCACGGCAACACGGTGAGCCTGGCCTGCAGCGTCCGGCGCCCGCCGCGCCTGGAGGCCGTGCGGCTGAACCAGACGGAGTCCCAGGAAACGGAGGTCAACGCCACCATCGCCCTGGAGATCTCGTGCCCCATGACCCGGGACAAGTACGAGAAGCTGTGGAAACTCATCGCCTACTACAGCGAGGTGCCCGTGACCTTGAACCGGGAGGTCGCCGCCGACGCCGGCCAGCTCACCGACGGCCACGGGGCGGCCGCCGCGTACAGACAAGACACCGACGCTGATGCATTGTACTACACGGGTGTCCGCGCCCGTGTGCTGGCCACGCCCGCCTGGATCCTCCAGCCGTCCGTGCGCCTGCAGCTCAATCGCCGGCAGAGCACGTCCCAGAGGGTCCTGCTGTCGTACCGGTCGCCGTTGGCCTGGATGACCGCCAGCAGCGAGGAGGACACGGGGAGGGCTCGCGGCCGGAGCTGGGTCATGATTGAGCCGGACCCGGACGCCCCGAGGGCCCTCGTTGTCCTCGAAGGCTCGCCGTGCGAGCTGGGGTGCCACGTGCGGGCGTCGGAGAGCCCCACTATCACCTGGGTTCTCCCCGACGGCTCGGTGCTGTCAGCATCCGCCCATCCGGACGCGGACGGAAGATTCTCCATCCTGACCGGTGGCGGGCTGAGGATCAGGGAGGCCGTGCGCGCCGACACGGGGCTGTACCGGTGCATGGCTGCCGTCCCGGACGAGGCGGCCGGCCTGGCCTTCCGGGTCGTGGTGGTGCCTCGGACGGCGCAGCCCCCCGAGGATGGGCGGGCGGCGAGCGTCCCCAAGAATCCGGGCGAACCCCTGATTCTGCCCTGCCGGGCGCTGGCCGTGCCCGAGGCCCAGCTTACCTGGATCCTTCCCAACCAGAGGATGGTCCACGCCTTGGCCAACACGTCCAGGGCCTACGTCCTGGCCAACGGGACCCTCTCCATCCCCGAGGTGCAGGCCGGCGATGGAGGCGTCTACCGGTGCGTCGCCGTCAACCAGCAGGGGGCAGACCAGCTCACGGTGGGGGTCGCGGTGAGCAGGAGAGGGCCGGGGGGCAGGGCGTCCAAACGGGGACGGCGTCCCGGCGGGCAGAGCCCGTCTCGACCCAGAGGAGGCATCGTGGAGGACGAAGGAGGCTCGGGCGTCGGCCCCGATGTCACCCCGTCCAGGAGGGTCCAGCGCCCCAAGGACCAGAAGGGGCGCCGGAAGCCGAAACCCTGGCGGCATCCCGAGAAGGAGCCGGCGGATAGCCGTGTCGCCGAGGGCCGCCGCGGCTTCGAGTCCAGGCGGAGGGTCCACGTGGCCAGCAAGCAGATCAACCCGGACCACTGGGCCCACATCCTGGCCCGGGTCCGAGGGAAGAACCTTCCCAGCGACGGGGGGACGGTGGAGACCGCCACGGCGCCCGCCGAGAGCACCGACGACGCCACGCCCGTCCTGCCTCCTCCCTCCTTGTCCCCCGCGGCCCACGGGACAGCCGGTCCTGACGAGGAGTTCTCGGCAGACGCTCTGTTCGTGGGGGAGGTAGACCCTGTATCCGGGCCTGGCGTCCTGACAGCGGAAGCCGGAGCCACCAGCTCCGATCTCACCGGCTCCCATCTACAGGAATCCATCGACGACGACGACGAGGAGTTTTCTGAAAAGACACAGGGTCTACCTCTGTGGGCCGTGGCCACCCCAGGGCCATCGGATGTGCCTTATGAGTCTTCAACACCCCAGATCCTGGACCCGACCGATGAGGAATCCGTCAGCGATCACATGCCCACGCACAGCTGGTCTGCTCAATCCATGGCCAACTGGTCTACACAATCCATGGCCAACTGGTCTACACAATCCATGGCCAACTGGTCTGCTCAATCCATGGCCAACTGGTCTACACAATCCATGGCCAACTGGTTGACCCAAGCCGTCGGCCCCACCATCGCCACGGAAGACCGGTCGATGACGGTGGTAGATGCTGGACGTGAGCCAACATCCCGTGAGACCATGTCCCCCTCGGCGGCCACCCCCGTGCCTTCCACGGACCCCGAATGGGACACCCGTCCACCGTCGTACGAGGACGAGACGGAAGGACAGGCGTCCCGAGGGGTCGCCCCAACGCCCGCCTTGTCCGCGGTGGACCCCTGGGCCAGGAAAGGCACACAGGAGGGCCCTCGGAAGCTTCCGGAAGGAGCCACGCCGGGGAGAGTGCCCCCTGGCTCCCGAGGATCCACCACGGAGCGTGTCGGCGTGGAATCCACCCCGTCGCTTGGTTTTCTTGCCGAGAACCAAGTGGGTTCCGTGGCGCCTGCCACCACCACTGCTGCCTCCACTCCGCCTCCCCGGAAACGGCCCCAGGGCGCGGGGAGGAGGCGGCCACGGCCCCATCGCTTCCGACAGCGCCATAAGCCGACGCGTACGCCCAGCACGCCCGCCCCGACGGGGACCTTCTCCCCTGGTCCCACCCAAGACCCCGAAGCCCTGACCCCCGAGCGAGGGGACGGTTGGTCGGCGCCCACCTCTTGGGGGGAGCCTACGACGGGGACCCCCAAACAGGTGGGTGCGGAGACGCCTGCGGAGCCCGCGACCAGGGGGACCCCACGGAGAAAGCACGGCAGGAGGCCGCACAAACACCGGCAGGGCACCTCCACGGTGGACTCTGCGGAGAAGACACCCACGGATGCCACCGTGACACCCCGTCCGGGGATGGCCCTGCTGTCCACCGCCTTCTCCCTGGGAATCGGGGGCCCCCATGAGGCCATGACGGCAGCAGCTTTTAGCACCACCACCTCCCCCAACACGCACGCATCTCGTGGTGTACCCCGAGATACAACACCGGCCACGTCCACGCCCGCGTCCGAGGAGAGAGAAACGGAGACTTCCCATGACTCCGCCACCCGTGAGCCCGTCCTCCGTGTCCCAGCACCGTCCGGGTTCGAGATCTCCACCGTGAGAGACACGAGGAACGGATTCTTCACGTCTAGTTTTCCGGGAACGGAAAACGGGGATCCGCCGAGGACGGCGCAGCCCGGGGTTCTCCAGACGGATGCGTCTCCCTCTCCCCAGGAGTCGGGGGACCCGGGTCTGCCCCCGTCCGGGTCCCTGGTGCTTTCTACACAAGATGGCGTGGTCGCTTCCTCTACGCGGAGCACGGGTGTAGACGCAGCTTCTCGTCGGGATGGATCAGCCCCGTTCCCAGCCACCCGTCCCGTGACTGTGGATCCCGCCACCACGGAGAGCGTGTACCATCCATCAAGCCCGCCATCTCCTCCAGTGTCCACGGATTTCTCCAACCCCGTGGGGGTCCCCAGTACCCAAACGGAGGAGGAGGAGGAGAAGAAGGAAGAGGAGGAGGAGGAGGAGAAAGAGGAGAAGGAGGAGAAGGAGGAGGAGAAGAAAGAGAAGAAGAAGGAGATGAAGGAGGAAGAGGAGGAGGAGGAGGAGGAGAAGAAGGTGGAGGAGGAGAAGGAGAAGGCGGAGAAGGAGGAGGAGAAGGAGAAGGAGGAAGAGAAGAAGGAGGAGGAGGAGAAGGAGGAGGAGGAGAAGGCGGAGAAGGAGGAGGAGAAGAAGAAGGAGAAGAAGGAGGAGGAAGAGGAGGAGAAGAAGGAGAAGAAGGAGAAGGAGGAGAAGATGACCCAGCCAACATGGCGGCCAGTAAATGACCTGTCCACCCCATCTCCCAGGACAGACACCGTTCCCGTCACGCCGAGCCGGGAGGTCCCCGGGAAGGCCGAGGACACCACCCACATCCTCCTCCGCGGCCCTGACGGTCACCACCACCGCCACCGCCACCACCACCCCCTTCATGGTCGTGTCCGACTTCTCCCAACCCAACCGGCCACCGTCTCCGGCCCGCCCGTCCCTCCGAGGGGGACCTGGAGGCCTCCCGCATGGACCCCACGGGGCCCCTTTCGATACCCCACGCCTGTCCATCCTCCTCGTCGCCACGGAACCACGGCGTCCCCATGGCACCTTCTGCGGGACCACAAGCTCTCGACAACGCCGAGACCGACCCCTTCCAGCCCGGCCACCACCGTGGACCCGTGGCGGACGGCGAGGCCCCTCCTGGCCACGGGCCACGGGACGGACCCACCCCGCCACGGCCACGGCCACGGCCACGGCCACGGCCACGGCCACCGCACCACGGTCACACCCCACTCCAACAGCCTCCCCGACGTCAGACCCCCTCACCCGTCCGGCGGCAGGTCCCCGTTCTTGCTCGACAGGACCTTCTCGTGGCCACCATCAGCCGGGACCCCCAAGACCCGGACCCCGGCCCCTCCAGCCCCAGGGACCCGGGGACGAGCCGTCCACCCGTTCGCCGACGACCATCGCACCCGCGCTCAGACGGTCATCACCCACGTGGACTTGGGGCCGCCGGCCCCGCCGGCCCCTCCGTCCCCGCCACCGCCGTCCTCCACCCGTCCCGTCCCCTTCGTGACGGCCCCCCACGGGCCGCCTTCTGGAACCTTCCGTCCGGGCGGGGCCAGGGTCTTCTCAGCGGCGGGCGGGCCGCCCGCTGCGGGGACGTCGAAGCTCTGGGCAGCCGGGGAGGCGCCGAGGATCATCAGCAAGTCGCCCCCGACCGTGACCGTCGCGGCCGAGGCGGACGCCGCGATTCCATGCGAGGCCACGGGGAGGCCAGAGCCGTTTATCACCTGGACCAAGGTCTCCACGGGTAAGGGGATAAGGGGACGCAGCGTCTGCGTGAGTTTTTGTTTGCTTGTTTTATTGATTTTTTGCAGAGAGGAAGGGAGAAGGAGAGAGAGAGCTAGAAACACCGATGATGAGAGAAAAACATCCATCCGCCGCCTCCTGCACGCCCCCCACTGGGGATGTGCTCGCCACCAAGGCCCATGCCCTTGGCCGGGAATCGAACCCGGGACCCTTCCGTCCGCAGGCCGACGCTCTGTCCACTGAGCCACACCGGCTTCAGCGTGCATGTTTCTTTGTTTGTTTGTTTTGACTTTTTGCAGAGAGGAAGGGAGAGGGAGAAGGAGACAGAATCAGAAACATCGATGATGAGAGAGAAACATCGATCTGCTGCCTCCTGCACGCCCCCCACTGGGGATGTGCCCACCACCAAAGTCCATGCCCTTGACCGGGAATCGAACCCGGGACCTTCCCGTCCGCAGGCTGAGGCTCTATGCACTGAGCCAAACCGGTCAGGGCTGTAAAATATTTTTATTGATTTCAGAGAGGAAGGGAGAGGGAGACAGAGAAACATCCATGAGGAGAGAGAGTCATAGACCAGGGGCCTCCTGCACGCCCCCCACTGGGGATGTGCCCGCCACCAAGGTCCATGCCCTTGACCGGGAATCGAACCCGGGACCCTTCCGTCCACAGGCCGGCGCTCTATCCACTGAGCCACACCGGTTTCGGCTATATATTCTTAGATGTGTATTTTACACACACACGCACACACACACACACACACACGCACACAAACGTGAAACATTCGCACGGTCATTCTCTCAGTGACTATAAAAAAAAGATTCAGGCCATTGATGGAAGCTTAGAGGGATCGGTGACATGCGTGTGTGAACAGTGGTTGTATCTGGAATCTTCTTTAGAGGCTGCTGGGGCAGCCCGGCCGGCTGGCGTGGCTCCGTAGTGGAGCATCGACCTAGGAACCAGGAGGTCACGGGTTCTATTCCTGGTCTAGGGCACAGGCCTGGGTTGCAGGCTCCATCCCCCGTAGGGAGCATATAGGAGGCATCTGATTGATGACAATTCTCTCTCGTCATGGATGTATGTCTCTCTCTCCTCTAAAATCAAGAATAATATATATATATTTTTTAAAAATCTGAACAGTTGGTGTGGCTCCATGGTTGAGCATCAAGAGGTCAGAATTCCATTCCCGGGCAGGACACATTACCTGTAATAATACAAATGCACTCAGTGGCCAGAGGATGATGGTCTGTGAACGCATAATAACCTGGCCACTCCGTGTGTGTGTATATATATGAGAGGTTCAGTGCGTGAATGCGTGCCTGGGTGGGGTCCGGCCGGCCTGGCCAGGGGTCGGGGACGTGGGCGGTCGGCCTGCCTGCCTGCTGGTCGGACTCCCGGTTGAGGGGACCATGTGCCTATGAGCCTTTTATCCTATAGGATGGACACGGGGCGGCCGGATGGTTCTGCATTCAGAGATCATCATCATTTGGCTACTGAGTGTATAGATATAGATATAGATTTAGATTTAGATATTGATGATATAGATGTAGATATAGAGATAGAGATAGTGATAGAGATAGAGATAGATATAGAGGTAGAGATAGATAGATGATAGATAGATAGATCGATCAGAGGCCCGGTGCATGAATCTGTGCATGGGTGGGGTCCTGCCAGCCTGGCCAGGGGGCGGGGACGTGGGCGGTCGGCCGGCCTGCCTGCTGGTCGGACTCCCGGTTGAGGGGACCATGTGCCTATGAGCCTTTTATTCTATAGGACGGACACGGGGCAGCCAGATGGTTATGTGTTCTGAGATGATTATCATCTGGTCACTCGTGTGTGTGTATATGTATTTGTATATGTATATGTATATCTATATCTATATCTATATTGTACACTGGATCATATATATGTGTTTGTGTGTGTGTGTATATGCGTATATATATATATATATTTCTGTATATGTATATGTATATCGTACACTGGACCATATATATGTATGTGTGTGTGTATATATATATATATATCATACACTGAACCATATGTGTGTGTGTGTGTATGTATATGTATATATATATATATATCATACACTGGACCATATATATGTATACACACAGACACAGACACACACACACTCACACACACACACAAAGTGGCCAGATGATTATGCGTTCAGATGTTATGATCGTCTGGCCACTCTGTGTAAATTTCATAAAATAAAGTTTAAAAGAAGAAAGCCCTAGTCAGTGTGACTCAGTAGATAGAGCGTCGGCCTGCGGACTGAAGTGTCCCGGGTTCGATTCCCGGTCAAAGGCATGGACCTTGGTGGCAGGCACATCCCCAGGTGGGGGGCGTGCAGAAGGCAGCTGATGGATGTTTCTCTCTCACCGATGTTTGACTCTCTCTCCCTCTCCCTTCCTTTCTGCAAAAAAATCAATCAAAAAAATATATATTTTAAAAAAATATATTTTATTGAGTTTTTCCAGAGAGGAGGACAGAGGGAGAGAGAGCTAGAAACGTCGACGAGAGAGAAACACCCACCAGCTGCCTCCTGCAAGCTCCCTACCGGGGATGTGCCCGCCACCAAGGTCCATGCCCTTGACCCGGAATCGAACCCGGGACCTTTCCGTCCGCAGGCCGGTGCTTTACCCACTGAGCCACACTGGCTTCGGCTGATGGATGTTTCTCACTTTCTATCCCTCTCCCTTCCTCCCTGCAAAAAATTAATTAAAAAAAAAAAATTTAAAAAAAAATATGGGGGAACATTTCTCCGGAGCCTCACCCCCCACTTCTCCTTCTCCGTCTTTCCCTTCCAGGCGCCCTGCTGACCCCCAACACCCGCGTCCAACGGTTCCAGGTCCTCAAAAACGGCACTTTCCTCATCCACCGGGTCCAGCCTCAGGACCGGGGCCAGTACATCTGCACCGCCCAGAACCTGCATGGCGCTGACCGGCACTCTGTCCTGCTCTCCGTGTCCACCCAGCTCCCCCAGATCCTGGCTGCCTCCCCATCCCAATCCCAGACCCAGTACCAGGACATCACCGTGTCCGTCGGGGACACCATCTCCATGGAGTGCCTGGCCCGGGGCACCCCGCTGCCCCAGATCTCCTGGATCTTCCCGGATCGCCGGGTGTGGCTCCATCCGTCCCCCGTGGAAAGCCGGGTGACCGTCCACCCCAACCGGACCCTGTCCATCAAGGACGCGTCCTTCTCCGATCAGGGCGTGTACCGGTGCGTGGCCAGCAACGCGGGGGGCGCCGACAGCCTGGCCATCCGTCTGCACGTATCGGCACTGCCCCCCGTCATCCAGCAGGACAGGATGGAGAACATTACGCTGGCCCCCGGGCTGAGCGTCCACATCCACTGCGAGGCCAAGGGCGCGCCGGCCCCCGGCGTGCGCTGGCTGCTGCCCCCCGACGGCACCCCGATCCGGCCCTCGCAGTTCCTGCGGGGAAAGCTGTTCCTGTTCCCCAACGGGACCCTCTACATCAGGAACCTGGCTCCCAAGGACTCCGGCCGGTACCAGTGCGTGGCTGCCAACCTGGTGGGCTCGGCCCGCCGGGAGGTGGCCGTGACCGTGAGGCCCCCCGGGGCGGCCGCCAACGCCCGCATCACCGGCAGCTCCCCGCGGAGAACGGACGTGCGCTACGGGGGGACCCTGCGGCTGGACTGCAGCGCGTCCGGCGAGCCCTGGCCGCGCGTGCTGTGGAGGCTGCCCTCCAAGCAGATGGTGGACGGCGTGTTCAGGTAGGTGCACGGCCCTGGCTGCTGGGGAGGCGTTCAGCCGGTCATCATTGCACTCCTGTGAGCCATCCATCCATCCACCTATCCTTGTATCCATCCATCCCATCCATCCATGTATCCATCCATCCATCCATCCTTCCATCCATCCACCCATCCATTCATCCATCCACCCATCCATGTATCCATCCATCTATTCCATCCATCCATGTATCCATCCATCCATCCTTCCATCCACCCACCCATCCATCTATCCTTCCATCCACCCATCCATCCATCCATCCATCCATCCACCCATCCTTCCATCCATCCACCCATCCACCCATCCTTGTATCCATCCATCCACCCATTCATGTATCCATCCATCTATTCCATCCATCCATGTATCCATCCTTCCTTCCTTCCATCCATCCATCCATCCATCCATCCTTCCATCCACCCACCCATCCATCTATCCATCCATCCACCCATCCATGTATCCAACCATCTATTCCATCCATTCATGTATCTATCCATCCGTCCTTCCATCCATCCACCCACCCATCCATCCATCCATCCATCCTTCCATCCACCCATCCATCCACCCATCCATCCATCCACCTATGCATCCATCCACCCATCCATGTATCTATCCATCTATGTATCCATCCATCCATCCATCCATCCACCCATCCACCCACCCATCCATCCATCCATCCATCCATCCATCCATTGCGCTCCTGTGAGCCATCCATCTATCCATCTATCAACACACTATTGTGCTCCTGTGCACCATCCATCCACTCATTCTCCCATCCATTCATTCATCCATCCAACCATCCATCCATCTACTCATCCTTCCATTCATTCATCAATCCCCCTATCCATCCTTCTGTCCATCTACCTGTCTATCCATCCATGTATCTGTCCATCCATCCATCCATGCAGTCATTCTCCTATCCATTTATCCATCCACCTATCCTTCTATCTGTCCATCCATCCAACCACTATTGTGCTCCTGTGAGCCATCCATCCATCATCCATCCATCCATCCACCCACCATTGTGCTCCTGTGAGCCATCCATCCATCCATCCACCCACCCATTCACCCACCATTGCACTCCTGTGAGCCATCCATCCATCCATCCATGTATCCATCCTCCCATCCAACCATCCATCCATCATCCATCCGTCCATCCACCCACCATTGTGCTCCTGTGAGCCATCCATCCATCCATTCATCCACCCACCCACCCATTCATCCACCATTGCACTCCTGTGAGCCATCCATCCATCCATCCATCCATTCATCCACCCACCTACCCATTCATCCACCATTGCACTCCTGTGAGCCATCCATACATCCATTCATGTATTCATCCTCCCATCCATCCTCCCATCCATCCATCCATCCATCCATCCACCCATCCATCCACCCATCCATCCACCCATCCATCCATCCACCCACCCATCCATCCATCCATCCATCCATCCATCCATCCATCCACCCCCATTGTGCTCCTGTGTGCACCTCTCCTTTCACAAATAGAAACAGTCGCACCCAGGGCAGGTCTCCTTGGGGTGCCCTTGGGCAGGATGAAGGCCCACAGGTCTTGCTCCCCATGTGCGCTGGTTCTGGGGGTACATGAGTTTTTCACACAATGCTGCCTGGTCTTTATAAGCTAGAGTGCCTGTTTGGCCAGCCCCACATAGGAGTCTCTCTCTCTCTCTCTCTCTCTCTCTCTCTCTCTCTCTCTCTCTCTCTCGTGCTAACGTGAGGATATTTTTCCCATTGAATTTTTACAGAGTGGAGAGGGGGGAGAAGGAGGTAACGGAGAGTCACATCAACGTGAGAGAGACACATCCATGGATTGCCTCCCGCATGGCCTGACCAGGGTCCCTGACATGGAGCCCACACACAACCCAGATCCATGCCCTTGATCAGAATCAAAACACCCCGGACTTCTGAGAACCCCTGTAACCACTGAACCACATGGGCCCGGGCCAATGTTTTTTAGTTTAAATAATTGATAGTTTTAACTGTATAATTTTTTTAAAGTATATTTTATTGATTTTTTTTTCTACAAAGAGGAAGAGAGAGGGACAGAGAGTTAGAAACATCGATGAGAGAGAATCATCGATGAGCTGCCTCTTGCAAACCCTCTACTGGGGATGTGCCTGCAACCATGGTCCATGCCCTTGACTGGAATAGAACCTGGGACCTTTCAGTCCGCAGGCCGATGCTCTATTCTCTGAGACAAACCGGTTTCAGCTAACTGTATAATTTTTTTAAAAAAAAATTATTGTTATTGATTTCAGAGAGGAAGAAAGGGAGAGAGAGAGAAACACCCATGAAGAGAGAGAATCATGGACCAGCTGCCTCCTGCACGCCCCCTCCTGGGGATGGAGCCCGCCACCCGGGCCTGTGCCCTGGACCAGGAATCAAACCCGGGACCCTTCAGTCTGCAGGCCCATGCTCTATCCACTGAGCCACACCAGTCAGGTCTCTATCATAATTTCTTTCCTTATTTTTATAATTTAAATGTGTTTTTATTGATTTCAGAGACAGAAGGGAGAGAGAGAAACATCCAATGAGGAGAGAGACTCATCATCAATATTTCTAACTCTTTCTCCTTCTCCCTTCCTCTCTGTAAAAAAAAAAAAAAAAATCAAAAAGTATATGAAAAAGAAAAGTAAAATAAAATCTTATTTTTTGGATTTCAGAGAGGCAGGGAGAGAGAGAGAGAAACATCCACGAGGAGAAAGAATCATGGAATCAGCTGCCTCCTGCACGCCCCCCACTGGGGATGGAGCCCGCCACCAAGGTCCATGCCCTTGACTGGGAATCGAACCCGGGACCTTTCAGTCTGCAGGCCGATGCTCTATCCAGTGAGCCGCACCGGCCAGGGCTGTGTGGCTATGTGTGGAGGTGGCATTGGCATGCCTGAGACAGCAGTGAGGATGGAAGAATGCCATCCTGGACTGATTCACAGTCTCCCTGTGAATCACCGGTTTGGACAGCTGACGATTTATCTTCCTCATTCCGAGTTCCCTGAACAGCCCACACGTGTTTTAGGAGCCAGCAGCCGCTGGACACGTTGAAACATGCTCATATAGGAATGCCCCGGAGTGCATTCCATTCTGATTACCATCGGGGCGGAGAATAGTATTGATTTTTTTTACAGAGAGGAAGAGAGAGAGAGAGAAAGAGAGTCAGAAACATCGATGAGAGAGAATCATCCATCAGCTGCCTCTTGCACGCACGCCCCCCACTGGGAATGTGCCCGCCACCAAGATCCATGCCCTTGACCGGGAATCGAACCCAGGACCCTTCAGTATGCAGGCCGACCCTCTATCCACTGAGCCAAACCGGTTTTGGCTGTTGTTTTTTTGTTTTTTTGTTTGTTTGTTTTTAACATTTTAATCATGTTAATCTAAAAGAACTGACCACTCGCCCTGGCTGGTGTTGCTCAGTGGATAGAGCGTCGGCCTGTGGACTGAAGGATCCTGGGTTCAATTCCTGGTCCAGGGCACAGGCCCGGGTTGTGGGCTCCATCCCCAGTGGGGGGCGTGCAGGAGGCAGCCGATCCATGATTCTCTCTCCTCATGGATGTTTCTGTCTCTCTCTTTCTCTCTGACATCAATAAAAATGTATTTTTAAGTAAATAAATACATAAAAATTTGGGGGAGATTTAGCACAGCCAGTGTGGTTCAGTGGTTAAGCATTGACCTAGGAACCAGGAGGTCAAGGTTCAATTCCTGGTCAAGGGCACATGCCTGGGTTGCAGACTTAATCCCCAGTAGGGGGCCGTGCAAGAGGTAGCCGATGCATGATTCTCTCTCCTCATGGATGTTTCTCTGTCTCTCTCTTCTTCTCCCATCCTCTCTGAGATCAGTAAAAATATATTTTTAAAAAACTATTCTAGCTGAAACCGGTTTGGCTCAGTGGATAGAGCGTCAGTCTGCGGACTGAAAGGTCCCAGGTTCGATTCCGGTCAAGGGCATGTACATTGGTTGCGGGCACATCCCCAGTAGGGGGTGTGCAAGAGGCAGCTGGTCGATGTTTCTCTCTCGTCGACGTTTCTAGCTCTCTCTCCCTCTCACCTCCTCTCGGTAAAAAAATCAATAAAATATATTTAAACACACACACACACACACACAAAAACTATGCTATAAAGGTTTTTATAAAATTTCCATTGTCCCATCCCTAACATGTAATAATCTAAGCCTTACTAGACATTAGACGTTTTTATGCATTAGGTTAATGTAACCACTAGGGGTCGGCCTGCAGGCCAAAGGGTCCCGGGTTCGATTCCTGGTCAAGGGCCTGTTCCTCTGAGTTCTGGTCCGGGCGTGTGCAGTAGTCACCCCATCGATGTTTCTCTCTCTGTGTGTCTCCCTCCCTCCTCTTCCTCTCTCTCAGAAGATCATGGGGAAAATATCTTTGGTTGAAAACTCACACACACACACACACACACACACACACACACACGTTATTCTCAGTGATGTAAGCCAGCCAGAGAAAGGTGAATATCCCATGATCTCACTCATGAACAGCGTACACCGATGAACAAAGACAGATCCAGAGACAGAGACGCACCGATCGGATGCTCAAACCTCAGAGGGAAGGAGGCAGGGGAGGGTGGGGGTGAGGGGAAGAGATCAAACAAAGGACTTGTCTGCATGCATAGAGGCCTAACCAATGGTCGCAGACACCAGAGGGTGAGGGTGAGGGCAGGATTGGGGATGGGGGAGAGCAATGGGGGGCTGAGCACATGTTTGTAATGCCTTAATCAATGGAGGAGGAGGAGGAGGAGGGAGAAATTGAGGAGAAGGAGGAGATGGAGGAGGAGGAGAAGATGGAGGAAAAGGAGGAGATGGAGGAGAAGGAGAAAGAGGAGAAAGAGAAGGAGGAAGAGGAGAAAGAGATGGAGGAGGAAGAGGAGGAGGAGGAGGAGGAGGAGGAGGAGGAGGAGGAGGAGGAGGAGGAGATGAAAGAGGAGAAGATGGAGGAGGAGGAAAAGGAGGAGATAGAGGAGGAGGAGAAGGAGGAAGAGAAGGAAGAGATGGAGGAGGAGGTGGAAGAGGAGGAGATGGAGGAGGAGGAGAAGGAGAAAGAGGAGGAAGAGATGGAGGAGGAGGTGGAGGAGATGGAGGAGGAGGAAGAGGAAGAAGAGATGGAGGAGGAGGAGGAGGAGGAAATGGAAGAGATGGAGGAGGAGAAGAAGGAAGAGGAGAAAGAGATGGAGGAGGAGGAGGAGATGGAGGAGGAGGAGGAGGAGGAGAAGATGGAGGAGAAGGAAGAAAAGGAGGAGATGGAAGAAAAGGAGGAGATGGAGGAGGAGGAGAAGATGGAGGAGAAGGAGGAAGAGGAGGAAGAGATGGAGGAGAAGGTGGAAGAGGAGATGGAGGAGGAGATGGAGGAGGAGATGGAGGAGGAGGAGAAAGAGGAGATAGAGGAGGCGCAGGAGATGATGAAGAGGAGGAGAAGATGGAGGAGGAGATGAAGGAGGAGATGGAGGAGGAAAAGGAGGAGATGGAGGAGGAGGAGGAGGAGATGGAGGAGGAGAAGGAGGAGGAGGAGGAGGAGGAGATGATGGAGAAGGAGGAGGAAGAAATGGAAGAGAAGGAGGAGGAGGAAGAGATGGAGAGAGAAGGAGGAAGAGGAGGAGATGGAGGAGGAGGAAGAGGAGGTGATGGAGGGGGAGGAGGAGAAGATGAAGGAGGAGGAGAAAGATGGAGGTGGAGGAGGAGGAAATGGAGGAGATGGAGGAGGAGGAAGGAGGAAGAAAGAACAACAACAGAAAAGAACAACAACAAGAACAACAAGGACAAACCGGGACCTGGTTTGTAGGTCCACGCCCAGCCCCTGCGCCCTCCCGTCTCTGGGTGTCCTGTCCGCCTCATTCCTTTCTCTTCTTCTTTCTTCTCCTTATTTTTTTTTCCTCCCCGTCCCCCCTCCCTCAGCCTGGACCCCCGCGTCCGGGTGCTGGCCAACGGCACCCTCGTGGTCCACGCCGTCACCGAGCGGGATGCGGGCGACTACCTGTGCGTGGCCCGCAACAAGGCGGGCGATGATTTTGTCGTCCTGGGTGTCAACGTGGTCACGCGGCCGGCCAGGATCGAGCAGAAGGACGCCGGCCACCACCATCCCCACCACCAGCACCACCAGCACCACCGGGTTCCCTACGGCAGTGACCTCCGAGTGGACTGCGTGGCCTCGGGCCTCCCCGACCCCGAGATCTCCTGGAGCCTGCCGGACGGGAGCCTGGTGCACCCCTTCGTGCAGTCTGACGGCGGTGTTGGCGGTGGGGCGCGGTCCAAGCGTTACGTCGTGTTCCATAACGGGACCCTTTACTTCAACGAGGTCGGCCTCCACGAAGAAGGCGATTACACCTGCGTCGCCGAGAACCGGGCGGGCAAGGACGCCATGACCGTGCGGGTCAAGGTGGTGACAGCGCCCCCTGCCATCCGGAACAAGACGCACTCCGTCGTGCGGGTGCCCTACGGCGACACGGTGTCCGTGCCCTGCGAGGCCAAGGGCGAGCCGCCGCCCAGGATCACCTGGCTGTCGCCCGCCAACAAGCTCATCCCGAGCGGCCCCACAGACAAGTCTCACGGCCCCACAGACAAGTACCAGGTCTACCAAGACGGCACGCTGCTCATCCAGAAGGCCCAGAGAGCCGACGGCGGCAATTACACCTGCGTGGCCCGCAACACAGCCGGGGAGGACCGCAAGTCGGTGTGGGTCCAGGTCCATGTTCGGGCGCCCTCGATCAACGGCAACGCGGACCCCCTGGCCACGGTGAGCGAGACGGCCCTGGCGGGGAGCCGGAAACTCATCGACTGCCTCGCCCGGGGCATCCCCGCGCCCAGAGTCCTGTGGGCCTTCCCCGAGGGGGTCGTCCTGCCCGCCCCGTATTTCGGGAACCGGGTGACCATCCACCGCAACGGCACGCTGGACATCCGGAGCCTGAGGAAGAGCGACGCCGTCCGGCTGGCCTGCATCGCGCGCAACGAGGGGGGCGAGGCCCGGATGACCGTGCAGCTCGCCGTGCTGGACGCCGCGGAGACCCCGACGTTCCACGACCCCGCGGACGAGACCATCACGGCCGTGGCCGGCCACACCATCAGCCTCAACTGCTCGGCGTCCGGCGTCCCGGCCCCCACGCTCGTGTGGACGCTGCCCAACGGCACGGAGCTCGCCGGGGGCCGGCGGCTGCAACGGTTCTTCCACAAGCACGACGGCATGCTGCACATCGCGGGGCTGGCGGCGGTGGACGCGGGCGCCTACCGATGCGTGGCCAGCAACGCGGCCGGCCAGGCAGAGCGGCGGGTGTCCGTTCGGGTGGGCCCCGGCACGCCGGACGCCAAGAAGCAGTATCGCAACCTGGTGAGCATCGTCCACGGGGAGACGCTGGAGCTGCAGTGCTTGCCCCCGGGGCTGCATCCAGCCGTGTCCGGGGGCCGCCCGGCCCACGTCTCCTGGACGCTGCCCAACGGCGTGTCCCTCCGGGGGCCCCAGTCCCGAGGGCGCGTCTCCGCGCGGGACAACGGCACGCTCACCGTGCGGGAGGCGTCCGTGTACGACAGGGGAACCTACGTGTGCAGGAGGACGGAAAACGGCGAGGACAGCGCGTCCGTGGTCAGCTTCCCGGTCATCGTCATCGCCTACCCGCCCCGCATCACCAGCCAGCCCACGCCGGTGATCTATGCGCGGCCGGGGGCCGCCGTGCGCATGGACTGCGTGGCCGTGGGGCTCCCCAAGGCCCAGGTCGCGTGGGAGCTCCCCGACGGGTCCCGGCTGGCCGCGGGGACGCAGGCCCGGATGTACGGACACCGGTTCCTGCACCCGCAGGGGTCCCTCACCGTCCAGCAGGTCTCCCCGAGGGACGCTGGGTTCTACAAGTGCACGGCCAAGAACGTGCTGGGCACGGACACCAAGACCACCTACGTCCACGTCTACTGAGGCGTGGACGTGTAGCGTGGACTTTGTAGCGTGGCTTCGTGGCGGGTAGGGCGAGGGCCTTGTGGACAGAAGGGGGGAGGGTCCCCTAGCTCGATTCCTTCTCGGTCAAGGGTGATTGAAGGTACATGGCCAGGTGGCAGGCTCCCATCCCCAGGAGGGAACCGTGCAGGAGGCAGCCGATCCATGGTTCTCTCTCATCGCTGATGTTCCTCTCTCTCTCTCTCTCTCCTTCTCCCTTCCTCTCTCTCAAGTCAATAAAAATAAACTTATTAAAAAAGAAAAAGGAATGGGAGAGTGGGGATTCAAGAAGGAATCCAAAGACGGAAGATAGTTTGGAAAGACATTGAGGATCAGAGGGGCTTCAGTTGAAGGAGCTAAAGACTACCCCTCGTCTCAGGACCCCTTGCTGTTTATTAGCACCATTTGTCCTAAGGAATTGTGAGTAAAGACTACCCCTCGTCTCAGGACCCCTTGCTGTTTATTAGCACCATTTGTCCTTCGGCGAGGTGGAGATGATACACGTCAACGGGGAGGGGGATACAGAATCCATTGTCAGATTGCGGACTAGCCAAGAGCTGTTTGGGTGTTTGGCCAACAGGAGGCGATCACATGCCCTGAGCTGTCTGGCAACCAACAGTCATCCTATTCGGCTTTGGGGGAAGTGAGTGCCGTTCAGCCATTCTCAGATTTAAAAAAATAAAATAAAAATGACAAGCTGGAATTGGCTTTCGGCCCCTTAGGACTTTGGACTATCACAGGAGGCAGCGGGGAGAGTCTAGCATTCAAACACCATACAGCACGGGGCACAGGGCACGGGGACCCCAAGGTTGGGTGTCCCCGTTGCGGTGACCTTGACCTACAGGAAGCCCCACAGATTCACCCGGGACTTGCTCGCCTGCCTGCTTACAGGACACACGGTCCACAGGGTCTCTCTCTCCACTGGCGTTATTTTCACGGGGTTTTGGTGAACAGTGGAGATTTCGGTGTGGCCAGTGCCTGTTTTTTTTTGTTTTTTTTTTTGTTTGTTTGTTTGTTTTTTACCATAGAACGTTCTAGAATCCATACCCAACCTTCTGTTTAGGATGACTGTCATTTCTAAACTCTAGCTTGCCCGAAAAGGGCTTGGAACCAGAATGATTAAAAAAAAAAAAAAAAGTAAAGTTTTTTTATTTTTAATATATTGATTTGGGAGAGGAAGGGAGAGAGGGAGGTAGAAACATCCATGAGGAGAGAGAATCATGGACCACCTGCCTCCTGCACGCCCCCTACGGGGGATGGAGTCCACAACCCTGGGCCTGTGCCCTTGACCAGGAATCGAACCCGGGACCCTTCCGTCAACAGGCCGATGCTCTGTCCACTGAGCCACACCAGCCAGGGCCATGCTGACTTTTAAATCAAAAATATTTGCGTCGATTTCAGAGAGGAAAGGAGAGAGAGAGAGAGAGAGAGAGAGAGAGAGAGAGAGAGAGAGAGAGAAACATCCATGAGGAGAGAGAATCATGGATCAGCTGCCTCCCGCACGCCCCCCCACCAGGGATGGAGCCACCAACCCTGGGCATGTGCCCTTGACCGGGAATCGAACCCTGACCTCCTGGTTCCTAGGCCCATGGTAAACCACTGAGCCACACCTGCTGGGCAACACGATTTTAAAAATATATATATATTATTATTGACTTTTCACAGAGAGGAAGAGAGAGGGACAGAGAGTTAGAAACTTGGATGAGAGAGGAACATCCATCCGCTGCTTCCTGCACGCCCCACCCCCACCTGGGGATGTGCCCGCCACCGTGGTCCATGCCCTTGACCTGGGAATCGAACCCGGGACCCTTCTGTCCGCAGGCCCGCGCTCTGCCCACTGAGCCACACCGGTTTCGGCCAACACAACATTTTTTTTTTTTTTAAATGTACAACTTTCCTACCATACAGCTACCATTTTATATATGAAAAGCAAAACAAACAAACAAACAAAAAAATACCCTCCTTTCCGCAACCCCCCTCCCTTTGCTGGAATTCACTTTTTATATAAATATTAAAAAAATATAAATATAAATTTTTTTTTCGTTCTTTCTAATTTTGACGACGAGGCTAGGAGGAGAACGCAGCGCCTTCTCTGCCTCATGAAAGAGAATAAATTATTTGCTCTTTACGAGGCATCGCAGGGCAGGCATGGAAAGGCAATTAAAATTCCTTCCCCTCCCACTTCCACCTCATTCAGCCCGCCTGGTCCTATTTCCGTTCCAGGCTGGCCCCTCACCGTGGGGAAAGACGGGGTGTAGGAATCTGTTTTACATCCCACGTGGCAAAAAAAAATAAAAAATAAAATAAAGAGTTTGAATTCAGGGTTCGGGTTCCGGAGAAAGGCTGCGCGCACACACACACACACACACACACACACACACACACACACACCCATGAAGAGAGACTTGAGACTTTAAGAAATTCAACTTGGCCAGATGGGCCGGGCCAGGCAGCCGTCTGACTCTCGTGGGAGAGAATGGAACCCCCTGCTCTGGCCCATCTCTATCACATTTTACAAACATGTGAAGAGACAGCCCAAACCGGTTTTTGGCTCGGCGGATAGAGCCGTCGGCCTGCGGACCGGAGGGTCCCGGGTTCGATTCCCGGTCAAGGGCATGGACATCGGTGGCGGGCACATCCCCACGATGGGGTGTGCAGGAGGCAGCTGGTCGGTGATGATTCTCTCTCGACGTTCCTAGCTCTCTATCCCTCTCTCCCTTCCTCTCTGTGAAAAAATCAATAAAATATATATATTTAAAAAAAAACATTTTAAGATACATTTTATACATTAAAAGGAACAAAATAATAATGATAATAATAATAGGTTATCTGCTTTATTGTGTCACCAAATCGCAGGCAAGATACACAGAAATGTACAGGCCACCGTTAGGCAGGAAAGGACAGACACTGACATGGGACAAGCAAGGATGGAAGCTGCTTCAGCTAATTGTCTCCATTCCAGGGTGAGTGGTTAGAGCAGTGAAGGTGATGGGCCAGCCTTCCTGGCTTCCTGTCAATCTCTCTCTCTCTCTCTCTCTCTCTCTCTCTTTTTAAAAAAAAATATTTTATTGACTTTTTACAGAGGGAGAGAGAGAGCTAGAAACGTCGATGAGAGAGAAACATCGACCAGCTGCCTCCTGCACGCCCCCCACTGGGGATGTGCCCTCAGCCACCAAGGTCCATGCCCTTGACCGGGAATCGAACCCGGGACCTTTCAGTCCCCAGACCGACGCTCTATCCACTGAGCCACACCGGTTTCGGCTTTTTTTGAATATATTTTATTGATTTTTTTTAAAAAATATATATAGAGAGGAAGGGAGAGGGATAGAAAGTCAGAAACATCGATCTGCCACCTCTTGCACGCCCCCCACTGGGGATGTGCCCGCAACCAGAGTCCATGCCCTTGACCAGGAATCGAACCCGGGTCCCTTGACTCCGCAGGCCGACGCTCTACCCACTGAGCCACACCGGTTTCGGCAGCAAGTTTATTCTTAAGACCTCCAGTGGGGGGCGGCGGAGAGAGGGAGGAAGCAAGAGGAGAGAGAGCTGAGACAGGACCCTACAGAATAAACCCAAAGACTGTGAGGAAAAAAAACACAGAACAATAAACAAAACAAAACAAAAAACACACACCCAGAAACACATTCTCTCTCCCCTGGAAATGTACGCCCACAAAAAATAGCACACCCCGTATCTCCATGTCTGTTTTGCTGTGTTGTTTTGTTGTGTTTTTTTTTAAGAAAAAAATCTAGACAATGTACATTTGGATAATAAAATGGTCTTTTCAGAATCACCAGGCAATGATGACATTTATATTTTGTTTTCTTTTTTTTTTAAAATGAATTTCTTTATTGATGAAGTTATCCCATAGTTGTTTTCAAACCCCCTTCCCCCCATTCCAATCCTGCACCCCAGCTCCCCACGCAAACCCCCACTCCCTGGTGTCCGTGGCCACTGGTTAGGCACCTATGTGTGCACACAAGTCCTTTGTTGATCTCTCCCTTTTTATGGATGGATGGATGGATGGATGGATGGGTGGATGGATGAATGGATGGATGGATGGATGGATGGTTGGATGGATGGATGGATGGTGGATGGATGGACGGATAAATGGATGGATGGTGGATGGATGGATGGATGGATGGTGGATGGATGGATGGATGGATGGATGGTGGATGGATGGATGGATAAATGGATGGATGGTGGATGGGTGGATGGATAAGTGGATGGATGGTGGATGGATGGATGGATGGATGGTGGATGGATGGATGGATGGATGGATGGATGGTAGATGGATGGATGGATGGATGGATGGGGGATGGATGGGGGATGGATGGATGGATGGATGGATGGATGGATGGATGGATGGATGAGTGGATGTATGTATGGATGGATGGGTGGGTGGATGGGTGGATGGATGGATGGATGGGTGGGTGGGTGGATGGATGGATGGGTGGGTGGGTGGATGGATGGTGGATGGATGGGTGGATAAATGGATGGATGGATGATTGATGGATAGATTGATGGATGGTGGATGGATGGATGGGTGGATGGATGGTGGATGGTGGATGGATTGGTGGTGGATGGATGGATGGATGGGTGGATGGATGGATGGATGAATGGGTGGGTGGTTGGATGGATAGATAGATAGATGGTGGATGGATGAATGGATGGATGAAGGATGATGGATGGATAGATTGATGGATGGTGGATGGATGGGTGGGTGGATGGATGGATGGATGGATGGGTGGATGGTGGATGGGGTGGGTGGACGGATGGTGGATGGATGGAAGGGTAGATGGATGAATGGGGTGGATGGATGGATAAATGGATGGTGGATGGTGGATGATCAGGCAGGAAGAGATGGTAAGAGAGAGCAAACCTCACCCTCAGCCCCCAGCAACAGCAACATTAAAGGAGTCACTCTGGTGTGACTCAGTGCTTGAGTAGCTACCTATTAACCAGGGGGTCAGGGTTCGATTCCCGGTCAAGGGCACAGGCCCGGGTTGCGGGCTCCGTCCCCCAGTGGGGGGCGTGCGGGAGGCAGATGATCGATGATTCTCTCTCGTCATCGATGTTTCTAGCTCTCTCTCTCCCTCTCCCTTCCTCTCTGCAAAAAAAATCGACAAAATATATATATATATTTTTTTTTAAAAAGGAAAATGAATTTCTGAGCCCAGAACAGGGAGCTGTGTGCTCTCTGAGACCCTTAATGAGAATCCCATATGCTCCTCTCACGCGTTGTTAATCATATGTTAGCTAAACGGTAGGGGTTTTTCCCCAAAAAACAGGCCAACTCGTCACATCTGGTATGTGAGCTCCTAAATCTGTGTGCGTTAGCAGAATCCCTCCCTGGCTCTCGGATGTCTGTCTGTGAGTGTTCCCGGGTCTCCCTGCCAAAGAAAACTCACACCAGGAGACTCCCTTTATTTTTTTGCTTCTTCTTTTTTAAAAATATATTTTGTTGATATTTTACAGACAGGAAGGGAGAGAGAGAAACAGAGAGAGACAGAGAGAGAGGAGAGAGAGAGAGAGAGAGAGAGTGAGTTAGAAACATCGATGATGACAGAAAATCATCGATCAGCCGCCTCCTGCGCGCCCCCCACTGGGGATGTGCCCGCCACCGAGGTCCATGCCCTTGACCTGGAATCGAACCCGGGACCCTTTCCATCTGCAGGCCGACGCTCTACCCACTGAGCCACACTGATTAGGGCTGTGTATGTAAAATTTTAAAACATTATTTTAGATACATTTGATACATTAAAAGGAACAAAATAATAATAATAATATAATAATAATACATTGTTTCCCCGAAAATCATACATCCTCCGAAAATAAGACCTACGTCCAGGTTTCCTTCTGAGGGACATAGAAGGAAATAAAACCCAAAAATAAGGCCTCCCCCCTAGGCTAACCATGAGAGACTGGGTCCACGGATTCTGGGAGAAACTGAGTCACAAGACATTCACCGGGAAACCCAGGCCGGGACGGTGAGGCTGAGGTTCCAGAAGAGGACGAGGACACGACGGCCATGGAATCCATGAGTCCGTTCTCGGTCCCGTAGGATCCCCGTGTGTCTGGTGTGTGCGGACCAGGACCGTCCTGCCGCACCGTCCGCAGGGAACCCGTGTCCTTTATGTGCACGGAACCATACGTGTGCACCGTGTTCCTCTTCATGGGAACATGAGACACATCCCCTGGACACAAGGCCTAGCGCCTCTTGGGGAGCAAACATTACTATAAAACACTGTCTTATTTTCGGGGAAACAGAGTAATAATAATTAAATAATAGCCGAAACCGGTGTGGCTCAGTGGATAGAGCATCGGCCTGCAGACTGAAAGGTCCTGGGTTCGATTCCCGGTCAAGGGCATGGACCTTGGTGGCGGGCACATCCCCAGTGGGGGGGGGGGGGCGTGCAGGAGGCGGCCGATGGATGATTCTCTCTCATCATCGATGTTTCTGTCTCTGTCCTCTCTCTTCCTCTCTGTAAGAATA